TGGCTGTTTCTCATGATTTTCTCCTGCTGGCTATGAGTTATATATGTCTGGGGGAAACTGAGACTGCACAGTCTGGGCTGTTGACCGTCTTGACTTGGTGTGATAAATATAGAAGCCCCATAACTGCAAGAGAAATCTTGCAAGCATTTAACAGGGGCTCCCCATGACTGACAAGCACACATTGGCATATATATTCAGCCACTAAGGATGACCTTGCTATTTGTTAGTCTTTATGAACGGATTCCTGCTCTCCTAAGGCAGCAAGGAGGGTGCTTCCCTATCTAGGAGTTGTCTTATTTTCTTGGGGACTTTAATACAGTGGATCATGTTGTAGGTGCAAATGACATTAAGTGGAAGAGGAGTTTAAGTGCGGCCAGGATCCTGTTGCATGATCTCAACCTTCTGATGAAAGCGAGTTATTTTTTGATCTCTTCCCCAACATCTAAGTCTTCTTTTCAAGGTCAAAAAAGCAACGTGTTCTATCTGGTCCCACTTGATCCCAGCCACGAAGAAAAAGCAGAGGTCTCTTATTGCTTGCATTTGATTTAAAGGGCTGAACCTGCTTTCTGTGAGCCTTTCCTTACCTACTTAGATGGAATAAGTGACGGGAATATGGAATTATACTGGGGTGACAGTTCTGCTTGGGAGCTCTCTGTGCTGGGGTGGCACATGCTGCACTGATGCAGCTTGTGCTGCTGAGCCCAGGAGTAGCTTCCTACATTACTAATTGTTCCATTTCTCTACATTTCGCATGAAGCCATGGACATGAATGCTACCTCCAGAGGGGCTGAAGGCCAGCCTGGGAGCCCCCACCAGAAACCGGTGAGTGTATGGGGGCTGCCCATGCTAGGAAACAGCAAAAGGGCTTCAGAAAGGTGCTAACTATAGTGATTTTTGCATTAGGGACCACTCCTCCTCCCCTTTGTTATCATAGAGCCCAAGCACTACCCATTGATCTGTGGTGACCTCAGGCTGGAAAGCCAAGTTGCCCGAGGCAAAGATAATTGAGTAAACAAGCCCTGCTCTTTCTGCTGTAATTTGGATGGATTAGCCCTTTTCAGTGCAGAGACAAGGGACTGGGTTGAGGGAAGAGGGGAAGTCAAGTGCTCTCAGGATTGAGGCACAAGAAATTCAGGGCAAAAACAGCGTTTAGAAGAGCAGTGAGCTCTGCCTCTAGCCTCAGTTCCATTCCAACTTGCCCATTGCCTGTTCTACAAGGGTGGTAGAAGATTTGTTGGGTAGTGAAGGGATTTGGGGCTGAGTCAAGTCGGTATCCATCTGAAGTAAGCACCATTGTGAATATGGGAAAACTTTATTGCGAACAGCACCTGGATGCCACTAAAGCTCCCCGGAAGTTCACATTCCTGTAACAGAGATCAGAATTCACCTCTGGCTGTCACAGATCTAAAGCAGCACAGATGTCTGCCTCGTGTATCTGCTTCCCAGGAAAAGCAATTCCCAGGAGTGGGGAGACAGAGGGCCCCTGCAGCGGTGGTTGGTTACGTCAATGACGCTCCTGGTCTGAACACTAAAAAAACCTGTTTCATGCTGACTCCCTGCAGCTACATAGTGGTATGAGCCTGATGGGTTTTGCTTCTACCTCAGGTAACCCAGACACACTTGATATAGTAAAGTACAAGCCGTCCTGAGGGAAGCCAGAAGTGTTGTATAAGTGGCTGGCAGCCTTTCCCAAGGCAGCCCTGTTGAGTGGATCAACTATCCAGGCAGTGCTCCCTGGCCAAATTGGCCTTTGGTGGGGCACGCTGGGTGCTATGAATTCAATTCATGCACCTACTTGCACCAGTCTGTAAAGCTACATTTCGCCCTGGATTCTGCCACTTTCTCAAGCCCGGTGTTGAGGACAGCAAGGGGGCGGAATGGCTGGAGGAATGTTGTGCTGCTCCTATACCATATGGGCAACCCTATACTTTTACCCAACCCCGTACCCCAGCCAGGTTTCCTGGGGAGGTTTATGCTGACAAGAGCCAGGGCAGATCCCAGAATTAGGCTCCAATCTGGCCTGTTACTCCAAAAACTGGACAAGGCTGTTAGTACTTGTTGGATATCTGCTACCCCTGGCCGAGTGGCATTTAGAGAAGCCTTGCAACACCTGTACTGGCTGGTGATAGTCCCATGGTGTGCGGTACACAGTGGTCATCCTCCTCCCTACTCCAGGGTGGGCTGGCCAGAGGCTGGCTGTGCTGACTGTTAGTCCATAGTGATGCAGATTGTGCAGAACAGGAGAGAGGTTCTAGCCCCTGTCACTGGCAGCTTCAGCCCGCTGTCCAGCAGAGGATGTTGATGCCACACTTGCAGTATTCAGCCCTGGCAGCAACAGTTTGTCCCATCAGTGCTGGGAAATCTGTATCCAGAAGCAATTCCTCCTTGTAGGGCCTCAGAGGAGGGAGATTCTTTAATGATGGGGGCTCATCCAGAGAGCAGATGATTTTAAGACCGAGTTATCCTGTGGTAGGATATGTTAGTTGAAAGGTTAATTAACAAAGGGCATAGGTGGAAAAAGGTGACTCTTTCACAAGTGATGTGCAGTGTGGGCTCTTCAGTGAGACTGGAATGGATGTAAGGGCTTCTGGCCCCATTCCAGGTGCCTGCCAGTGGCTGTTGACTGTTTATATTGTGGTAGCACCTGGGGCCCCTGGGAGATCTGGCTGTGTTGCGCTAAGCATGTAGGAAGAGAACATCCCTGCCCTGAGGAGCCTACAGGCATAACAGGCAAATGAGGCAGGGGAAGCCAGGGAACATAGGAGTGAAGAGTGTCTTTACACGTGCTGTGGGGTGGGTGAGGTGCTTTAATTACATCTGCTCTCTGGAGCTACTCTAATTAAAGTGCCTGCAGGGTTGTGTGTATTCAGCATCTTACACTTCAAAATAGTGTGAAGGGGTGCTTTTACTAAAACTCATTCCATGAGCTTTAGTTAAAGCGCCCCCACTGCTATTTTGAAGCACTGGGATACTGAACACGTGATTCCAATTAATTGAATCTGCTCAGATGCATGCTAATTAGTAGTTGGAGCAGGCGTGAGGCATGTGTATAGGTGCCCGAAGTGACCTGGGCAATGCTACCAGCAGGCCAGTGGCTGAACCCAGGACCACGACCCAGTTTTGTGCTGAGAGCTCACGCAGGCCTCTTGCATAATGCTCAGATGGTGGAGGTGGATGAGATTGCCGCCCTGCTGGCTGCAATGACATCTAAGCGATCCAGCATGTGTGCCTAGGAGGGGGCACCATCCTTCCATCCTCAGTCCATCAGCACTCCAGGATCTGCTGGCTGGTCTTCACAGTCCTGGCCAGTGGTGACTCTGTTCCATAATGTTTGATCTAAATAAAGCCTGAGGGCAAGACTGAGTGTGATTTCAGAAGCAGGGGGTTGGCTGGAGTCCTGAGATCCAAAGAAATAGTGGCAATGGCTGTTGGTACCCGGCACCCAGGGCCAGAAAATGTGATTTGTAGTTCTGGCTCTGTCACTGGCTCGATGCCTCACAAAACCTCCATTTGCACTCCCAGCCTCCACCTACTTATACTGGACGCATCTGCACAAGACACTATGTCTCCATAGTAACAAGCTATGGCCACATAGCTCGTCACTACGGCGACATAGCATCAGCAGGCACAAACTGTGACACTGACACTACAGCACGATACCAATGAGCTGCTGTGCAGTAGGGGCAGAAATGACCCATGCGCCACCTGGACTGCGCAGTAATGGCGGTTACTGCATAGTCATTTAGTACTTGCTAAAGTCAGTACTAAATGGCTGCAGTAACAACTGCACAGTCAGGGGCACGTGTAGACATGCCCACTGTGTGCTCTGTAAAGCAGAGATCCTCTCTCTCACATGTCTGTGCACAGCCTTGATCTCATTTGGGACCTCTCAGTGCTAGTGACTAACAGCAACATGCCTGCAGGCTGCACAGACACCGATAGGCAGTCGTCTGGTCTGTCACTCAGCAGATCCAGCTTTTCTTGCTCTGTGCTTGGCTCCTTCCCCGCCCACCCCACAGAGTAATGCTGACTTCTTTTTCACCAGGAGTTTTTGCCTGTTCCCTAGTTCACATGTTCTCTTCTTGCTGAGGTCACTGTTAATAGCCCTGCAGTCCAAGTTCTGCCTGGGCAGGGATGGTGCCATCCCAGCAGAATCAAGTGCTCAGACTTGGCTCCTGTTTAATTCCAGAAGCACAGAGGAGTGTTAAGAGGTTCGCATTGAACCCTGCTCTGTCCTGTCCTGGCTGTGTTCCATCCCTGCGCCTCAGACTGATTCCAGCAGGAGTGGGTGTTGAAGCAGGGTGTTGGTGATGCCACTTGCATCACCTGGAGCAGGAGTGGGCAATTATGTTGGGCAGAGGGCTGCTTACTGAGTTTCTGCAAGCCATTGAGGGCTGCATGACAGGCAGCTCAGGGCAGATTAATATTAATTTTCTAAATTTTTTAGGGGCCCCACAGGCTGGATAGAATAGCCTGGCAGGCCACATCCGGACCCCGGGCTGCATTTTGCCCACCTGACCTGGAGGATCCCCTGGGCAGCTCCCTATTCAAGGCAAATGCCAGCAGGCAGCTTCATAGACTCCTGGCTTGGACACAACCACCTTACAGGTCCCTCCAGCTCAGAACAGATCCTGTCAACCCCGGGGGTCTGTACAGACTGGCTGCCTGATCCAGTCTGCCAGTGCTTAAATGCTTCCCTCCCAGTTTGGAGCACTGCAGGAGAAGCTGAGACCTGTCTTGTAAAGGAGCAGCATCCCACCCCCAACACACAGCTGGCTGGCAGCTGCTGATCTGGGGTTCTTGCTGCTTCTCTCTATCAGCAGGGCTGGATCCTGCAAGGTGTGGAGTCCTCTTAGCACCCACTGGGCTGTGCACCCACTGGGAGTGCAGGATGATACCTTGATCAATGTGGGGGCTGTTATCATCATATCTGGCCTCACACACTGATTCCCTGCTTGTTTGTTTCCCCTGGCAAATCATGAAGCCCTCCCACGCATGGGGGGGGGGAGTGCTCACCTGATGTAAATGGCTCATTGGAGTCAATCAAGCCAGGCCCATGGAGGAACTATCTCGCTGCCAGATTTACTGGAGATATTATCACAATTTTATCCCTGCCAAGATGCATCCATAAAGGGACAGCAAGGGATTATATGGATCTAAGCTCTCTGGGAGAGCACCAGACTGCCCCCTGGTGAGTCGGGTGAAGTATTGCCCCTCCCAAAAAGTTTTTAAAGAGTTGTTAGCTAATTGCTGTGCATGTGAGTCATCTTCCCAGCTCAGGACCTGATGGCTCTGTGAATTGCAAGAAATAAAGGAATGAGATGACTGAGGGTTTAATGTTGGCTCAAGTCCAGCTGAGAGTAGCTTTTCCCCAAGCATTTCTAATTGGCTTCTCTTTGTCTACTCTCTCGATCCAAGTAATCTCAATCGCAGTACAGGTGATCTCAGAAATGCTTCCAAAATATCAGCTAATAGCATTTTTTTTTTTAAGTGAGAAGAAGAGGAGGTTTCTTTTCTTCACTTTTTGTGCGTACTGTCATTCATTTGGGATCTTGATACCAGGCTACAGTCCAATCTTATACAGTCAGAAATGTATGGAGCTGGCTATAAAATCCCCTGATCTTATCTTGATCCAAAGAAATCAGTTTTCTGATGCCTGGTCAGTGTCTGATGTATTAACAAGAAGCTATGACTTGGGAAATAACTAGATATCTGACAGTAGGAGTCAAACAGTGTGTTCCTCCAGATTTACAGTGGGATTCCAGCTTTTTTTACATTCAATGCTGCAGGAGTAGCAACAGTTAGATGCACACACATCTCTAACAGATACTGGGCTGGGTTCCCAGACAGCGTAAGTCAGCAAAGTCCATGGGACAATACTGATTTATACCAGTGCTAGGCTGCGCCAATTATATCCACTACTAAAAATACTGGGGTTATGGTGAAGGCTCTAAAAGGCATAACATTCGCTTACATTTCTCAATAATTTGTTACACAGTCTTATGATTGCCAATCCGGGGGAATACTGAGATGCTGGCTGCATAGCATAATCCAGCTGCTGGAGAGATCTGACTTGTTGGAAGTTGTGCCCAAAGAACATTTTTTATTTCCTCATCTCTTCAATAGGCCTTTAAAAAAAAAAAAAATGGGTGACTTATGGAGTGCACAAGAAGAGATCTGGATAATGGGATTAGCAGCAGGTGGTGCCTCTGAGGGGGGTTGTTTTCCTTTGGAAGCAGAAGAATTTTTTTAATAAGAGTTAATGAAAAGCCACTGAACTTGAAGCTCCCAGCTGCTATTGGGAATCTCCCTAATGGCATTCCTGAAGCCACTGGATATTTATGATTTATAATAGCTAAACTCCAACAGGTGCAGATGGACAGCGTGTTAATCTGAGTCCTCGACTTTAACAAGGTAAAGATTGCTGAGGCTTTTAGAGAGGCATGCACAGTTGGCTCCTAGACAGAATTGTCTAGAGCAGAGTTTCCCAAACTTTTTCTTACTGTGTGCCCCCTTCCAGATTTACCAGCTGCCTGCATACCTTTACCAGCATATGTTTTATATTTTAACCCCTTAAATTCCAATTATTGTTATAATGACAATTAAATCCACTATTACACATTTTTTCTCTCGTACCCCGCCCCCCCTCCAGAGATGTCTTGCATACCTCCAGGGGTCAGTGTACTACAGTTTGGGAACCCCTGGTCCAGAGAAATATATGTGTAAACTACAGCCAGGTCCAAACCAAAGCACCATGAAGTTATGGGGAAATTACATCCCAATCCAGTCTTGAACTTGTTTCACGTTCATCTGTAAAAGATGCAGATAAGACAGAACACTAAGCATTCGGAGCCATTTGGAACTCATTCACTAGCCAAACTTCTCAGATCAGACCCTTCTCAGTGAGATGGTGCAAAAGATGTGTACCCCTTAATTTTTAGAAAGACTCTGAGCCAAACCAGAAACCAGGTGTCTGGCTGCAGGACCACCTTGAATGTAAACCTGCTTCTTGGATGGGTTAGTGAATCATGCTGTCTTTGAATGTGTGTTATAAAAAGGCTTTAGTGAAAGCTGTGTGCAATGGAGTGGGTTTTCTTTGAGAGCCTTTACAAAACATCATTTTGGCTTCAGCACCTGTTTGGGTTCAACTCCTTCCCCAAACTTTTGCTTAGCTGTAGTTCAGATAAGCAAGAAGAACATGGCTGAAGTTCTAGTTTGATGTCGGAACCAGGTTTTGTGTGGTATTCTCCTGCAGTCCCAGTTCAGGTGGCATCTGACATATGTTTCCTTGGAACCACGACCAGACTTATTTCCGAGATGGTTTGAGGTTGATCTCGGGGTCACTCAAGCACCGAGTTCAAAAGAAGGTTCTTCCACATGTGTAATGAGACATAACACCTACCCATAGTTTGGGTGTCACGAGAGAGAATCCTCACAGCTCATCACATCACCGGCACCTTCAGCTGAGAAAAGATACTCAGAGTTGTGTCCAGAGCCTAAAATTATGAAGACTTCTTTTACCAGAGGCTAAGACAGATCAAACTTTCCTGCTGTTGTATAGGTCCAGATCTCTAGAACCTCATGCAATCCAAAACAAATGACACAAGCATATCTTCAAAGACTGCAAACTTACTTGCATGCTGAGAGAAGGAACTTGGACGACATAGTTTAACAGTGTTCAGTGGTGACTCCTGTCACAAATTCAGTACACTGTATTTTTTATCACAGAGATGCATAAGAGAGCTGTAGAAACACTCTCCCATCTTTTAGAGCGTCTTTTAGAAAGTTCACACAGATTACAAATGAATGATGGGATAGTGCCCAGTTTAACAGCATTATTGTATATCCCCTGGAAAAATTAATGCTGGGATAGAAGTAATTCTAAATGACTTCAGCCAAAAAGCTGTCTCTCCATAACACAGGAGTGATGATGGGAAAATGGAAATTTGAACCATTTCCAGATAGTAAGTGCTTTTGCATTTATTTTTGGCCAATGAGATGCTTACTTTGTTTGTGGGGGTTGTTTTGTAACTATTCCAGGAAAATAAGCAGGAACAGCGAATGCAGAACTCCGGCAGAGAAGGGAGAGAGGAAGTGATGGCGAAGAAAACTTGGGCAGATGTAATTCAAGAAATGAAAAATTTCCTGTGGGATCCAGAGAACAGAACATGTCTGGGAAGAACAGCTAAGAGCTGGGGTAGGTTCTGTGCCTCCATTCCTTCTCTGTTCTTTCTCACAAGGGATTCGCTTGTTTGTCAGTGTCCTTGCTAGGATATAGCAGAGCACATACAACCTAAATCCTGTTATTTTAAGGGAACCACACATATCTTTCTAACAGGTGGCTTTATAGAGAACTGTAGAATCCTGGCAAATTAGTGTCCTTTTAAAAGCATACAGTCCAGGGAAAGCCACCCTCATTGGTGAGCCATTGCCTTTAACGTGATCAAGTTAAGGGAATTAAGGATCATGCCACTGAGACTTGAGTATTTCAGGCACCATGAGTGAGACTAACTGGTGATCAAAGATCAGTTTCAGCCCCAGGCTCTCTTTTGACATGTGTTCAGCTCCTATCAAACAATTTAGTTTACTGCAGCTTTATGGCTAAATTCAGTTGAACAGGAGTTACAAGTCAGTGGGATTGTGTTTCTGTCCCTTGACCTTTGTGTTGTAATAGCTGTTTTTTTTTAACATCCTTAAAAACACCAAGAGCTAGAGAAGAATTAAACTTCTGGTGCTATCTAGGAGTGGACATGAATGAATCTGAGAGTGTTTAATCATTCCGTGTATTCACCTGGGAGTGGGGAGAGCTGCTGCCTCGTTGTAGGCCCCTGTTGTAGGCACTAAAGTTGGAGCTGCCTTCCCAGACCAGGGCTGATGGGTGGCATGGAAGCTCCCCGTGCTGCTGTCAGTGATGTCCACTCTGTGGAGACATGGAGGATTTCAAATTCTAGGATAGTGGTTCTCAACTTTTTTTTGCCATGACCAGCTGCTGGGAGCGGAGTGCAGCAGTCTGGGGGTGGGGGAGCTCCCAGCACGTGGTGTGGCTTATCCTTTGTGTGCAGCACCGCCGGCATTGCCCTCATGACCCTCATTTAGGTTACAACCCAAGGTTGGAAACCGCTGCTTTAGGAGGCCAACCTGGCCTTTTTTTGCAGCATTGAATGTGCTGAGAGACGACACTTAAACAAGCACCAAGTAAGGTAAATGGAGATGATTTTGGAGATGCTTACAATTGCAGTTCTCAATTCCAATGCCTGATTTTTAGAACATGCATGTGACTACCCATCTAATATCTTCATTTGGACATGAGTTTGGTTTTTAAGTGAACGGTAGCCATTTAGGTGTCTTACTGACTGTTTGTATGTGTTGTTTATAATGTGATGTATGTGGCTAGGCTGAAAAATCTGGACCTAAAAGTACTTGCAGGGCCTTTCTGATGATTGTGCATTCACAGAGGAGATTCTCATCTCCTGGTATGCCTCTGTGGCATGGTGTGTCTAATGGGGCCTTGATAAAATAGTTTGGAGAGGGATGATTTGGCCTCAGGCAGGGGGTTGGACTAGATCGGGGTGGCCAACCGGTGGCTCCAGAGCCACATGTGGCTCTTCAGAAGTTAATATGCATCTTCTTGAATCTTTGCACAAGCACACAGTGACCTGCTTCCATAGCCGTTACGTCACGTTGTTATGTGTTACTGTGGCTCTTTGGCAGTGTACATTGCTAAATTCTGGCTCTGTCTCAGGCTCAGGTTGACCACCCCTGGACTACATGACCTTTTGCGGTCTCTTCCAGCCCTACTTCTCTATGACGCCTCAGGGAAGCATTACCTTTGGTTAGCTTAGATTTCAATATGCAGATTGTGGAGTCCTTTGATATGTACATCTTTGCCCTTGTAGAACAGGCAGGGCTTAGTGGGAGTCTAAATTGCCTCATGGTTACCCCACTGTAGAACAAAAGTAACTCCATTAACATGGGTGGCCAGGCCACAATAAGTTCTTACCTACATGAGTAAATCAATAGCACTGCGCGGGATTCAGGGAGGCAGGATCTGACTCCCTAGCTAGGATTTTCTTTGACAGCATTATCCACCACCTCTAAAAAAAAAAAAAAAAAAAAAAAAAAACAAAAAAAAAACAAAACAAAAAAACACAGGCCAGAAAGCCAGATGGAAATGGTTGAAAACAGGCACTATGGGACTGTGACTGAGAGCAGGTGCTACTCATACAGCCCCAGTAGCACTGCTCCTGCAGCTTGGTCCAGGGCTCAGTACTGACAGTATGCATGATGCAGTGGGCTTTTTCAGCAGTGTTTTCCTGGCAACTTGTTCACTGGCTTGAAAGCTATTGGGTTGGGCTCTATTTTAAAATCACATGCATTTTGTGTTGCAGTAGTACTGCTGACCTCAGGGCAGCAACTCTGTATTTACCTCAGCCTGGTTTAGCCAGTGATATTCTCAGGCATTTGCAAAGTCCCAAAGCAATTGCAGACAATGTGATGATCAGCAGGTTTTTTTCAAAACACAAAGAACAGGCAATTTGGCAACACTGAGCACTTGGCTCTAGTAGCAAACAGACAAGCCTTGCAACTTGTTCATTTCTCTTGCCAAGTTTTTAGTCTCCTGCAAAGCCCACAGTGACTGTCCTCACATAAGCCAAGAGACTTATTGTGTAAAATCAGCTGCAGCCAGAACAAAAAAGGATCAATTTACAGCAGCTGTAAAGCTACCCAGCTAGTGATATGATTCAGGGGTCAGCCAATGCTATGTGCTACAATGCAGTCAGATGACATGTAAGATGTCCCAGATGCATAGGGAGCCTGATTTGGCAGTGCTTATGGCAGATATAAAATGAAGACACTATCACTGTGGATTGAATGATGGTGGAGATTGTCTTTAAAGAACTCGTACACGAGTGTCAGGTTGGAGACATGCAACCAAAATGGATATGTTGACTAGAGCTGCAGGTTGTTTGCTGGGGCTGGAGGCTTTAATTCACTCAAATCTCCTGTGATTCTTGAAGCCTCAAACACTAATTTTCAGAGAATTTGGTGCCTTTAGCTCATTTAAATAAAATTATAAAAACAATTCTATGTAAAAAATAAGACTACAAAATATACCTCACTCCCCTCCCCCTCCCACAGATGTGCTCCAGGTGCTGAGTAATAACCATAAATTATATAGACATTGTAATAATTTTGTAACCAGCACATAATCATAGAGAATGAGGAGGCTGGAAGAGACCTCAGGAGGCCATCTAGTTCCAGCCCCAAATGCTTTAATGTTCTGCACACTTATGTGTTTATTATTTGATGACACATGATTTTATTGGTCTTTAGCATCCCAGAACTGAGCAATGCTTCGTACCACCCACACCCACACAGGTACCACCCTACACAGCACAAGGAGCAGGCTCAGCAGGGTATCTCAGAGAGAGCTCTTTCCATGTAGTTTTGGGCCTTGGCTCCAATACACTTCTAAAATGAAGGTGCCAACTAATGAAAGCTAAGGGGAGAATGGTCTTTACCTTCCACATCTCTGACAAGTACCAACTGAAAGGAAGGGTGTGTTCCAGGGCCTGAATTGTTTTTCCTTGAATACATGGTGATGAAGGTGAACACACAAGTTTTCCAAGTCTTTTTTGCTGTTTTATAAGCAAGCTTACTCATGGCTGAATGGCAGAGAGCAGTGATGTTTTGGCACTGGGTTTGCACAGTGCACTGCTTCCTGGCTATACATTTCAGAAGAGCCTCAGGGCTTAAGGTGCTCTGACCCCAGTGTGAATAGCCCTGCGAGGTGGCCACTGTTTGTGACAGCACTTGGCATGGCATGTGCCAAAGCAGAACTGAAAAATAACGGGAGGGGTAAGCCCAGTGGTGCTGCATTGCTAAGGAACAGTGTCTGCCTGCGAGTCGTGGTAGCTGTGTGATGGGGCTCTCCTCAGCTGAGGCCCAAGCCATCCCCTCTTGTCAAGGAGCCTGCAGTTACTCAGCTTCTGCTCTCACTCGCTGTACGTTTGAAGAGACCCCACTGATATGATGCCAGCAGGTATGTGTGAAGCTAGGTAACTAGCTGGAGAGTCACACCAGTTTAAATGCACAAGACCAGATTCTGCCTTCATTCTCTTGGGGTTATATCTGGAGTAATGCCATTGACGTTACAACGGCCACTATATCAGGATAACTGAGAACAGAATCTGGTCTGTGGAGTTCCTTAGATGTTGTACCCTCTAAGAAGGAGCCTATGGACCAAAAGAAGTTGCCCTGGCTCCCCCTCAGTCTGGCAGTGCCAGGAGCTTGCAGGGGAAATCTTGAGGCACCTGTTTTACTCTCTGGGCCTAGCTGATGATACAGCTTTTATCAGACTCCCTTTTGGCAGCCATGCAGTAGAAGCCCCCAAGATACTAAACCCCTGGGAAAGTGGGTGAGGGGGTATTTTTAATTCTTCCAAAAGCAGAGGGAATTAAACTAAAGGGCTGTTGACCAACTCTTTGCTGCCCAAGAATTCAGCTCTATGTGCCAGCCCTGGCCCCTTTTGGGGAAGAGAGCGAGAACCAGGAATTTTCTTCAGATTTCACTCATGTCAAGAGCCTGCTCTCAGATCTCAGAGCCGATGAACGTCTTCCTCCACCATGGCTCTGTATTCTACTGGTTCTGCTCCCCTACACCTCAGCTCCCCTGCTGAGCCTCCTTTGTTCAGCCCGAAGCTGAATGTACGTTCCCATCTAGTTCCCGTCACTAAAAATTCCCCCAACATAAACACCTAGAGAACAGGGAGGTGAAAGTGCACATCTGTGTTCTCAGGGCTTGCTTTGAAACTGGAATCACTCTTTTCTTGGGAAATGTTTGTGTTATGGTCTAACTTTATTTTCTGAATCACTGGCTTTTATTCATAGACTGTATTCTCAGGAGACAACCCCAGCCCTGGTCCTGGAAAAAATAAATACTGCTGTTTGGCCTATGGGCTTGGGGAAAAGCCAAATGAATGTGTATTTCTGAGCTGCTATGTTTCTGTGTAATGTTGTTCGCATTGTTCCCCAGAGATCTGGATCGTGATGTCAAACAGCTGATTAGTGAGGGATCATCTTTCCTGTTGGAATTCTAAGGAATTAAATATGTGCAAGAGCAATTCAATGGCCCTTTCACATATGATTTCGATATTGCAACTACTCAGGCCAAATGAGATGAGATTTGGGTCCAGTTTGAGCTGTGGGATATAGGGTAGGGCTGGAGCAAACCATAAAGGGGGAATGTAGGTTAGAATTCCATCTTTCCCAGCATCCAGAGGAATTCAGAGCTAGGGTTTTGTCTGGGCCACTTGGAGATAGCATCTGGTTGAGAATTATAGATCCTGAACCAAATTTTCCCCAAAGGGTGAAGGTGGGTTGGATGTATGTGTGTGTGTGTTGGGGAGCCAGGGAAAGGGTCATTGCTTCAACAAATGTACAATGTCAATAATCGTCAAAGAATAGTAAGTGCTGAAAAGAGCTATTAATGTGTCCTTGTGTGAAGGTGGGACTGCTAATGGTTGTATGAACAGCAACGTGCCCTCTGTGTTTTGCAGGCTTGATCTTATTGTTTTACTTCATTTTGTACTTATGTCTGGCTGGGTTGTTCGCCTTCTGCATGTACATAATGGTGCTCACGCTGAACCCCTACGCACCGACATACAGGGATAGAGTTGCTCCGCCAGGTAAGCACCTCAACTTATATCCAACCATGCTTTCTCAGAGCCCTGCTCATGGCTAGGGGACGATCAAACTAGCTGCCTGAATGCACGCTTTGTTTTTGCTCTTCCTGGAAAAAGTATTATTTAAATAATCAAAATTCCAGTTCTTTTACAGATACCTTGAAGCTGAAATCTTCAGACAAAATCAAATGGTGTATGTTCTCATGCCTAGAATAGTTTTTGGATGTAGGAAGCACCAGGAGTTAAACCCTCTGTTAACATGGGAGGAAGCAGCAAAATCTCTCTTCGGGTGGCTACACTGATGTATCCTATAATCATAGAAAGGAGGACCGGAAGGGACCTGTAAGATCATCAAGTCCAGTCCCTTGCCATGGGTGGGAGGTAATTGGCCTCAAACGAGCTCAACAGGGTGCTTGTCCAGCTTCCTCTTGAACACCCCCGGGGATGTTGATGATCTGCAGAGACAGTGGGCTGGATTCTCAGCTGGTGGAAATCCAGGCAGCGGGGCTGCCCAGATTCATACCCACTAAAGACCTGGTCTTGTGGGCTTTGATGGTCAGGTACCTTCAACTGTTTCATGGAGAACCGAAGAGTCATGTCCATGTCAAGGGTCTCAGCAAAATGATTCTGTAAGTTCCTTGAGGCAGGGCTTGTGTCTTACTGCTGCAGTCAGCAATCAGTAATGATGATTATAGTTATAATTATACATGGGGATCACAATGCTGGAGGCCTTCAGTTCACACACTGATAAAATGTCTGTGGCTGGTTAATATAACAGAGTCTGTTTTATTTGCCAGGAGTAATGATTAGACCATACATACATGGGTTTACCATTGCCTTCAACGTATCAGAGCCTAGCAGCTGGCTTCCATATGTGGACAGTATGCACCGCTTCCTCGCAGGTAAATTAGCTGGCTTGTATTTCAGTTACAGTCTGCATGTCTCAAAGGTGATAGGTACCCATGTGCCTTTTCCAGCAATTAAGCATCTGTTATATGAACAAAATAGATCCCACGCATCATGCAGAAATGTTAACTTGGTATGGGTCACTCAACAACAGCTGCACAAGCCCTGACATCCTAAAGCAGCAGTTCCCAAACTGTGGGTCATCATGACCCCAAGTGGGATTGCAACATCTTTGGATGGGGTTGTGATAAACAGGGATCCGGGGGCACAGGCGACATGTTGGAGGGGTGGGGGTGGGGCACAGGCGATGTAATGTGGGGGTGGGGAGCAGAGGCAATGCAGCAGAGCGGGGCAGGAGGGCCAAGGTAACATGGCAGAGGGGGCATGTGCCCCCCTGCTCCCAAGATTTCTGCACCCACAGCAGGGCATGGGGCTGCATCCGGGTTGGACCAGCTCCAGGTAGAACCTGCCTCTGCATCCCAGTGAATGGGACCCGGCACAGTAGGGAGTGCCGTGCCATCGTGGCTGCCAAAGTGAGGTATGGCAGCATGGAGTTGTGCCCCTGCTGCTGCTGGGTAGGCAGAGGGCACCTCAGTATGGTGGAGTGGTGCTTCCTCCCCCACTGGGTCTCTCCTGCTGGGCCACGGAGCCCCCGGGGGAAGTTCGGCAGGGCAGGGAGCCCCAAGCCCACAGAGGGCAACCCGCATCCTCCCCTCCTCCCTAGCTCCACTCTGGCCATGCTGCCTGTGTGAGAGGGGCCGGGTGGTGGGGTAGGAGAGCCAGGCTCCATGCTCTGGTCTGGCTACAGCAGCCACTGCCTCCCACGAGTGGCAGCCCAGGCTTGGCTTCTGCTGGGGGTGGGGGCAAGGGGCTGCAGGACCTGGGACACCTGGAGGGTTGGTGGGCTGTGGGTGGGGAGTGAGGGGCACTTGGGTGGGGGGGGATG